CTTTATCACTTTTGAAATAATACTGAATTTATGACTCGAAATGCTCACTTTCTAATAATATAACGCATATACATATAGATTATGTTAGTTTTATAAGTTGATGAAAACGCCAATTTTACAATGTTGATAACTTGAGTACTCACTCTCTAATGAAGTTCGTATGTATGCGGATTTTTTTAAAGTTATTGTCTTGTTTAAATGCAAATTGAAATTTAAAATCGTTTATAATTCTAAATGTTTACCTCCTAAAATATATGTTTAGATGATGTTTTAAATTAATAAGAGTATTGATTTAAAATTTTTTATGTCTGAAATCGGTTTACTCACATCCTAATAAAATGGACCAAAGTATATTTGTGAATTATTTGGAATTGTTTGTTGGAAACAATAGCTTTAAATACTTACAGCCTAATAAGATGTATATAGGTATTAGAATTTGTTATAGTTGAATTAAGGGTTTGATTTTAGAAATATTTATAGCTTTAACAATACTAACCCTCTAATTATATAGTTGAAATATTATTTGTAGATAATTATATTTTTTTTAAATTAATGATTTATGCGGACAAAATATCTAAAGACGCAGTAACTGCATAGTAATTGTATCGTTACTATTAAATTTAATAGTGACAATGTAATTACTACGTAGTTACTGCGCATTATGACATCCGGGGTTCTGTCTAAAACCTTTAAAAATTTACAACATAAAATACTTACTCCCTAATTATTTATGTGTATTACAAATTTTCAGAGTTGTTTTTTTTCTTAAGACTAACAAAATTTAATCTTAAATATTTGATTCGAGTACTTTACCAGCTATTTAATTAAGGTATAAATATGTAGATTTTATTGATGGTTTTAAAATTTTAAAATTATATAGATGATCTTAAGTACTTACCAACTGTGAACATATGAATTAATATAATTATGTTATTCGAATTAACGAGATACTTGATTTTAAAATATTTCTGGTTGAATACTCACGTCCTTATAATATAATGCGTGGGTTATTAATGACCTTTGAATTAATAAATCTTTTTAAAGCTAAAATTGTTATGACTTCAAATACTTACCCACTAACAATAGAGTATATATCAATTGTTTAAGTTATTTGTTTTGTAAGTTTGAATTTTAAAAATTGTTATAATTAAATACTTACCAACTAATAATATAATTTATGACTTATTTAGGGTTATTTATCGTGAATTTCATTTCAAATTTGTATGGACTAATACTTACTGACTAATATTTTGGTGTATACAGATATATTTAATTTGAATTTGTTAATAAATTTAACTTTAAAAAAATTTATGGTCTTAGAACTTACTCTCTAATATACGTATAAATATGTGATTCTTTAGTTTTTGTTTTTTAATTAAAAAGAATTTTAGTTCGAAAAATGTTTAGGACTTACGACCTATTAAATTAAATGTAAATATTTAGATTGTTTTGTTTTTGAATTAGAAAACTTACGTTAAAATGTTATGTAGTGATTAAATACTCACATCCTAATGATATGGATATAGATCGTTCATGTTATTTTTTATCATGAAAATTATAATTTTAAAAAAATAGTTGGTTGACTCTAAAAGCTTACGTTCTAGTAATATTGCAAATATCGTTAATTTTTTATGATTTGATGAAAACATGACTTTTAGAATATTTATGAAAATACTTACTGACTGACAATTTATAAATTATACGAATTATTAAAAATAATACATTATTTAAATAAACAATGTTTATTTTCGATACTTACGGACTAGAGCGATTCGTGGATTATTTATAATAAGACATTGACATTTGGTTTTAAAAAATGATTATAATTTTGAATACTCACGGACTAATGATGTGAATTTTAAAATTTTTATTTTAGATTAAGAAACTTTTTTTAAAACTGTTTACGATTCTAAATACTCACGGACTAATATGTTCATGCTTGTGTTATTAACTTTTTTGAATTAAAAGTCCAAAAACGGTTGTTTCTCCAAATACTCACGTACTAATTTTATAAAAATGAACATGGATTATTAAAGATATTTTATTTAAAATAAATTTAGTTATTACTATAATATAGTACTTACTGTCTAATAAATTTGAGTATGCATATGAATTGTTTAAAATTATTTTGTTATCTGTTTGTAAGATTTTAAAATCTGAATACTCACGTCCTAATTCGTAACATTGTGAGGGTGAATTATATATAATTGCGTATGTCATTTCTTTTGAATTAATTGAAAGTTTTTGTTTTTAAATACTCACCAACTATTATTATAATCCGTGTGGATTAATTAGAGTATTTGAATTAATAAAATTGTTAATTATCTTATTTAATTTATTTATTTTTAAAAATATTTATAGATCAAATACTTACGAACTGGTGAATTGTCAGAATTATTATTTTGCATAATTTTTATTTTAAATTAGTAATAATTGATTTTATAACTTATACTTACTCCCTAATGCAGTAGTATATGCATATAATTAGCCAAATTTGTTAATGCCATAAACGCTTATGACTTAGAATACTCACGAACTAATAATATTAATTTTTATAGGCATGTAAATTATTTTGCATATTTATGATTTAAAAGGGCTTGAATTTCTCATGCTAACCTGTCATCTACCGTTAAAAGTATCGATGTTGAGTTAGGTGTTAAGGGTGTTATTGGTGTTTGAGGAAGTTGTTCTTGATATGCTTCTTGATACGCTTCTTGGTACACTATCGTGACGTCATCGGTGACTTGAATTGTTTCTTTACCAAATGTTGATAATTCAACGATTTGACCGGATGTGAATGTCGAGTGTTCCATTTCTTATAATGACCTGAAAAGCTTCCTAGAGAATGACTTGGTTAAAATTGAACCTATTCTATAAAAATTGCAAAATAGTATTTAAATTTCGGAGCAAATAAAAGAACTCGTATATATACAAAAAACGTTTGATGTTATACAATGGATACCGAATGTACTTCCGAATTTACTTATTGTTAATCATATAAGCAAAATAGTACGCCCCAAATACAAATAATGTAGCTGGAAACAAAACAGATGTAAAACACATGTCAACAAAGTTCCAATCATATAAATCATCAAAACTTCTTGAGTAATACAAAATTTTAGATTTATTTGTTTTTCTTTAAACAATATATCAGCACCTTATATCGAGACGCAACCGTAAGCTACTTTAAAGAATTTTCCATATGTACTTATATTACGTATACTTTGCATAAGATGCATCGCATAAGATGCATTTTGCAGCATCAGAATCTCTACGCATCATAATCACAATTTTTTTTCCTTTTCGATGTCGATTATTCGAAACTTGTGGCTTTATGACCTATAAAAATTTTAAAATCTCCAAATAAAATTGTATTTGTTTTGCTTTTTATAAAATTTCCATATATGTAAATTCTTTGTAAATTTCGAATTTGTGCAAAAACGTCCAAAATAAGAAATCAATATGAGGTTGTGCACGTTCACAAAGTTAAATAGGAAGTGACCAATCAGAAATCTAATTTTTCTTGAAAATCAATTCTCAAAGGTACAGCAATGCCAAGAAGATAAATTTGATCAGCGGTATATAACGATCGTGTATTATCTATCGTTATATATCACTAATCGAATTATTCAGGGGTTTGTCCTGTACATTATATAATTGAAAGCCATAACCTTCATTTTTTTTGATAGAACTCATTTATAGAGTAAAATATAATTCGAAATGATTTTTTACAGTATATCGTTTAATTCGTCTATTACATTATTATATTTAATCTAAATATTCATTAAGGGAGTTAATACATATTACGTAAATATAACACCCTCAGAGTCAGTCATTTGATATAATTACAAGTTTTAAGATAGTTAATCGTTTGACAATTGCAAGCTCTAAAATAACCAATCATATAAAGTTTACACTATATAACTTGTAATTGTCAAATGGCTGACTAAACTAAAAAAAAAATTAATTATGAAATCTTGACATAATTTTTATTAAGCAATAAATAAATAAATGAAGAAAACTTCCTTTTATATTACTTACATCAAGCTTCATTGGATTTTACTCGAAGTCTTTGCATTTCTTTATGTATTTTTCTATTGCTTTGCTCTGTATTGTTACAGATGGTGATGTTATTACAATCACACTAAAAATCCCTACTCAAAAAACCGAATACCTCGTGTATTTGTGAGATCAATGCATTCCTGCGATTTGACTGTGCAGGATAAGTATTTTCTTCTAATCTTTCTTTTATTCCTTATTGTAATTTTTACTAATTTCCTAACTTTATCTTAGGTTTCGGTAAGGGTTCCTAAGTATCAGGTTTAATAATGCCGATATTTAAATATCATAGCAATGGAGGAAAGTGGCTAATACATGATTTTACAGATAATTTAACTAATTAAATCGCAAAAATTTCCACACAAATTTTTGGTATCGGAGTGAATTTTATTCTTTTAAACGTTATAATATATTCAATTATTTTGAATTTTCACTGACTATGGTTATGTTGCATCTTGAATAGATATGTATCTACAGAGCACAAAACTTATTGTAAAATGTCGGAGATTTCCGTTTACGTAAGACAATTTCCGCCTCGACTTTTCATCAGTCGGAAATTTTATATAACTTGGATAAATTTTATTGGTTATTATGTTTGAACCTCTGATTAAAAAAGAAATTGTGGCAAAAAAGCAGGTTACATCACCCGGAAATTTTGTGCACTGTGTATCTATCTGAATTAGCACCTGACTGAAATTAAACCTTAATTCTAGGGTCGTTAATTGGAATTAGTACCAAGGAATCGGATAATTAATAGATTATAAGTACGTACGACCATACAAATATGTGATGTAAAAGTGACGCTATCAAATTTGCGAACAATTCATAATTTGATAGGTAGGTTAGTGGTGCCATAAAAATGTCGCGGTGACGTGATAGTCGACCGTTTCCGACTCATTTGATAGTCCGAATTTGATACTGATCAAATAGCAATAACATTTACATTATATTAAATTGATATATCAATGTTGTTATGATAATGGGTCGGAAGCAGTCGAAGATAACTTGACCGCGACATTTTTATGGCACCCAAATTAGATAGCATAATTTTTACATCACGTATTCGGACTTTCTGTAATCATTTCAGCAGCGACATCGAATGTAATTTATCATATAGTCAAAAGAAATAAGATTAGAAACAAGTTGATAAAAATTAATTTCATTTTTTCACGAAAAATAATGAAATCAGAGTAGTTGGTTATGAACAAAATTTTGTTAACAGCTAATTGTTTCGTCATTGATTATAAAACGATACTTAAAATACCACAAAAAATAGAGAAACTACCGTTTAACCTGATATTAAATTGGCAGAACTAGCTCGTTTACTTAGTACATTTTAAACGGTATAACATTCTTACACAAAGAAATATAAAAAAGAATTTCTTGGTACAAATAATATTTTATATCATTATACCAAGATATTCTGCTATAAGAGCCCAAAAATGCCTTTATGTTCGTTGTTATGCTTCTTTAAAGCCATATAATGTTCTATCCCGTTTTTTTAATGCTAATAGCATTTCAAATACAGTAACCGTTTTTTTATCATTATGTTCTACATATGAGACAGCATCTCTTAGTACATCACATAAAAAAAGTTTTAATGCGATTCTTGCTTCTTCATATATTCCTTCTGAAATTCTTTTAACTCCACCTCTGCGTGCAAGTCTCCTCAAATCAGGTTTTGTAATCCCCTTGATGTTTTCACGAAGGATTTTCTAAATTGAATGTTATCACCATGAACGAAATTATTTATATTATTTTGATACAGTAATATTATAACTAAAAAACTTACTCGGTGCCTCTTTCCTTTTCCTTTTGCTTTTCCTAGCCCTTTACCTTGGCTCGCACCTGCTTTCCACTTGCAAGGTCATCGCTACTTATGCTATTCACTGCAGAACGCTCATTTCAATAAACTTATAGTATAAAACGGAACTTTTTCTGTACAATCAGCTCATACCGAATTTAGAAACAAAGATATCCAAATCCAATCGAATATAAAGCGTAGCACAAATACTAAGCCGGTTTACATTTTTTATAGTGATCACTTGTATTTGTAATTAGACCAGATATAAGACCCCTAGCGTTAGTAATACATGTATACCCCACAAGATTTTTGGTGATACTCATAATATTTTTGTTTTACAGAAAAAAATAAATAATGAATGGAGGGTTTGGGTTGTGATTTATATGTTTGTATGGCCAATAATTAAGTTTATTTAATTTATTCCTTTTATTATTTTAATCATCGTTTTATTGTGTAAATATGAGTA